AATGGGCTGTTTCTAATTTCTGACTACATGAAAGCTGCTGCACTGAACATGGGTATATACGTATACACTAAAGTCTCTGCTTTCAAGTCTTTTGGGTACAGAGCCAAACTGCTTTCACTTGATAATATGTTAATTCTATATTTAATGTTATAGAAAACTGCCATGCTAGACTTAGGACAGAAGCCCTAAGAGTATTTTAATGCTAAAATATACAATCTTAGTCAAGTGTGGTAGTGCATGCTCACAATCCCAGCATTTAGGAAGCTGAGGAAGGAGTTTAAGGTCAACTTGCACTAGGTATTGAGTTCAAGGCCAATGTGCATAACAAAGTGAAACCCTGACTCAAAAAATAAAAAAATAAAAAAGACACAGAGTCTTTCCTACTGGGCTGGGGACTTAGCTCAGCAGCATGAGCACCTGCCAGGCAAGAAGGAGATCTGAGTTCGATCCTTGGTACGAAAAACAAAAATGAAACACCCCCACATAGTCCTTTCTATCAACAGTTCAAATCATGATCTGTATACTTAACGGAACCAGGATGGTTATGAAAGTGACTGCATAACAGGGTTTCAGAAGAAGGGAGTGCAGAGAATGTGTGGAACCAAGAATATGGGCCCAAAATCTGTTTAAAAAGAAAATATTCTGGAAGCCAAATAAAACAATGTGCAGCTAATTTGACTCTAAAGCTACTAAGTAGCAAAACACACCTAAATGTGAGGAATTAAATGTTTTATATAGGAAAAATACATTGTACTTTCTAGGATATATTATATACAATGTCCACCCTATGTAGCCAGGGCAGAAAGCAATGAATAAAAGCAAAAACTCTGGCATCGAACAAACTGGGTGTAACTAACAGCTTCATTATATGGGACCTATGTAACATTAAACAAGGTAATAAACTCATCTTTGTTTTCTCTTTTCTACAAAATAACAATAGTACCTCACTCATGTTACAAGTATCGAATGAGACAGCAGGATGAAGTGCTTAGTATCGGAGCACTTGCCATTTAGAATGTGTTGAATAAAAACATAACAAAAAAAAAACAAAACCTCAACTTTTTGTCTAAAGGCTTTAGGTGGTGTATACTGCAATGAAAAAAGAGAAAAGACATTGTAAGATTCCAAATAAGAGGGAAAAAAAACAGTAGAAAAATAACAGAAAAATATAGGGTCAATGTATAATACATACTTGAAATACAACTGACTCTTACTTATAGCTAAGACAACCTCTCCCCCCAACAACAACAGAAACAACAAAACCACAAATACGGTTCTTAGAAGTACTACCATGCGATCTCCAATTGATTTTTATTTGCCATGTTGTTTCAGACTGAACCATTTCTTGCTTTCCGTAAGTTTAACTCTTTAGACAGGAAATTTAAACAAGCACACGTCTTTCTCTGTTACTCTGATAGATGGTAGTATGTATAGTGGAATAAGAAATAATGAACATGGTAGACAGATAGCAGCAGCTTCAGAGGCTCTCTGAGAAACCCCACTTAAAATCCAGGAATGGTGCTGGGCGAGAAATCTTAAGCAAGGGGAGATATACTTTGCCAACCCAGGAATGAACTAAACTAAGGGAAACCAACTGGAAACGCAATCCCGGTGATATAACAGGAACAGATAAGGTCTCAGCGCAGAAGCTGGACCCCACGCCACTGGAAGCGCCACTGGAAGCTGCGATTTGAATTTCCTGCAGCCACTGCTGCATCCCAATCGGCACGGTAAGGAGAAAGGCGTGAAAGCTCTGAGAGTGGGAAGCGGTGAATGGAGTTGAGAGCAGAACTGGCCGGGAGCCCTGCATTGACCTGCGGTGATGAATGGATCTGGGACTCTTCCATTAGAGTAGGAGGCAAAGGACATACTGGGGCCGGGCAGACTACCTGGAACAGGATGCTGCAGTGACTTCAGTCACATATTCCCCTCTCAAGTGGGATTGGTGGGGAGTGCCTGGCCTGTGTGACGCCACTGACTAAGACCCAATAGGCTAGCCCAAACCAGGTCCCAGCGCCTGGAGGTGCACCCTAGCAGTGAAGCCTTCAGTAGGTTGACCTGGAGGAGCGGACCCAGCATAGGCTGCCCAGTTCTGTGTCTCTCTGGTACATGGCAGTGGGCGGGAATACCTAGCCCGCACATTTCAAACAAACTGTAACCAACAAAGAAAGAAACTGGGCCTCCTGTATACGCTTGTACAAAAGGAACAAAAAATATGGGAAGAGGGAGAACAAAGGAACAAAAGAACAAAGGAACAAAGGAACAAAAAATATGGCAACAAGAAAGGGTCCTCCGCCCCCAAGCCTGAGAAACGAGCAATATCAGACACGGCACCAATAGACATAAAGCACTATCTCTAGACAAGTTCAGGAATGAAGTTATTAACGACCTGAAGCAAGATATAAGATGAATAGTTAGAGAAATGCTAAGCACCGCCCAAGAAAAAACAGATGGTGGAATGAAAAAAGGGGAGAATTGTTTGAGGGAGAAAATAGAGAAAACATAGAATACGTGAAGCAGGTTCAAAGAGATCACCAAGAAACTAAAAACTCTATCGAAAACTGGCATAACAGCTTGAAAGAAACTAAGGATAGATTATCTGAACTGGAGGGCAGATTTATAATATGGGAGCATGAAATTAAAAACTTCTTAAAAATAACAAAAAACCAAACAGCAACAATACAAAGGCTAGAAGATGATAAGAGGATCTATAACTTAAGAATTAAGAACATAAAAGAACAACTAGGGACACAAACAAATGGACTACAAAAGCTATTTACAGAAATAAACAATCCAAGAGAATTTCCCTAATTTAGCAAATGGTAAAGATACTCAGATGTATGAGGCATACAGGACCCCAGCCACCTACAACCAAAACAGAGCTACACCCAGGCATATAATAATCAAAATTGTAGAAATCCAATATAAGAACAGAATATTAAAAGCCATCAGAGACAAGAAACAGATCACTTACAAGGGAACACTCATCAGAATTACAGCAGACTTCTTGGCACAAACCATCAAATCACAAAAACAGTGGGGGGGAATAATTTACGCTTTGAAAGATAATAACCTCCAGCCAAGATTGATATAACCTGAACAACTGTCCCTAGAAATCGATGGAAAAACAAAGTGCTTCCAAGATAAAGAGGAACTAGGGGAATTTGCAACCACCAATTCAACTCTACAGAGAATACTGCAGGTTATTCTAAAAAAGGAAAATACCAAGATTCCAGAAATAGTGGTAGAGAGGCCACAATGAATGGAGCAGAAAGCAAAATGAAGAAAACAAACTGACAACAAACGACAGAAAAAGAGCTCAACAGAAATGAGGCAGAGAAGATCAGATGGTAGGAACAGCTATTTTGGAGAAAACAAGACATCATAATAGCTAGTGCTGATTTAGTATCATCTTGTTTTGAAGTCCCATCAAACTTGTATGCTTCTGTCTCCATCGGTCTTAAAAGGTTGTGTATCTCATTGGATTTTATTATATATGATAATATAAGTGAAAACTTTTATATACAAGGAGATTATACAGAAACCATTGTTCATTTTCTGTTAATTGGTTCTAAATACCCTGTAATAATGTCATTCTCTTGAATGGTTTTATAGTGTCTTGACATGTTTGGTGCTACAGTATACGAAGTTACACTCAAAGATTTCAAGGAAAGAGACACTATGATAACTATTTTTATGTCAGGATATCTTGTGGTGAAACACTATTTTGCTTAAATGGTTATGTTTTGACCTGCCCTGTTCTGTTGTTATGCCCTCTTTTATCTCAATCCCTTTTTTAATTTACTTTTTTCATCTTTTTAATTAAGGGAAAAATAAATAAAAAATAGCAGCCCTCACCATCTTTTGACTGATTTTCCCCTATTCTGCTTTGCTTGATAGTACCAAGTCCGAAAGTATAGGCAAAACTGTGAAGACAGTAAGAATCATTATCATGCCCATTCCGGTTGACTATTATCTTCTTTTAAAGTCCTGTAATGTCTCCAATGCTTTGAATTTATTCTTTACTGTTTTGTTCAATTTTATTATAACTGGCAATTCTTCTTAAAATAGCAAGAGGCAGTATGGTAACCACTGTTGATCACCTTGTATTTTGTTTTTACATTATCTATTATGTCCATCTTTTTGACTTGACAGACTGTTCTGATACGTCGCATCTGGTTTTACTCTCTTCAAAAAAAGTAGTAAGAACTGTGGGAGTAATAAAATCCAAAATGTGTAATTGCCATTGTACAAAAGAAAAGAAAAGAAAAGAAAAGAAAAGAAAAGAAAAGAAAAGAAAATGCTCTAAAAGTTATAACTGCATATATGTTTAGGTGTATAAGATGAATAACCATATTACTGATTTTTTTTGGATCATTGAACAAAACTGTTTGCACTCTCACTGTTTGAAAGTTCACTTTATATGCTTCAATTTTGTAACTTGAACAACTATTTCTAAGATGAGAATATGTAATCTATTAACTAGTGATTTCTTACTGTTTATTTTTAAAATTTTGTATTGTACCCTTGTACAATACAATACTTGTACCCTTTTTCTGTTTTTTTTCTACTTAAATTAAAAAAAAAGAAAAGAAATAATGAATCCTAAGTTAACGTCTTTTTCAATAGTCCCAACTTTCCACTAAAAATATAATCACCATGGTTATGGTTTATATCAGAGTCAAAGGATTTTAAACCAATTTCTTGAGCACAAAAATGCTTAAACCTATCAGAAAGATAACTTACATCTTGTGTTCATTCTTTGTGTCACATACCTTGTGTCAGTCTTTGGATAAAACACAAATTGATCTTGATGTTTGAGACCTGTTGTGACAAAGATGCTCTCTTGATTTTAGAAAGCTTAATCTGTGAATGGTGTCTTAATTTGTTGAGACATCCATGGAAGGGGAGAAGAGAGTTAAAGGTGACACAGACATTAAGAGTCACGGGAGATGTTGCCATCGCACATGCCTTCTTATCAGCTTTGCACACACACTTACCAGTTTTACACTCCATGCACGTGAACTTCCCATCAGGGACTGACGTCCATCCCAGGCACTCCAGGTGAAAGTATCTGTAGCACTCTCCCTCACAAGGAACCAGAGAGTCCCCAGAGCTTTCGCAGATCTGGAATATAGCAAAAGGCAGTGGTTCTCAAGTTCAGCAGGCCCCAGTCACCCGCAGGGCTTATGAAATAAGACACCATGGTCTAGAGATCCTGATTCAGTAGGTCTAGAGAGTTTCAAAAATTTACATTTCTAATAAGTATTCTGAAGATGCTGGTCCTTGGCCTTTATATGGAAAACCACTGATACAGACAGCCATGACACCTACTTCTGTACCCCACATAACATAAAATTTATAGTCATACTTCAGGACAGTGGTTGCCTAGCATGTATGAGGGCCGAGGTTCAATTCCCAGTACCACAAAAATAAATAAATCAAGGTATGTATATATGTATGTCATACTAGAGTTTTATGATTCCTCCTTTGGGATCTACATACTTTAATCTTTTTTCATGCCAGGGATATAGCTCAGTGACACAATGTAAGGTGATGAATTTGATTTCCAGTACCAGGAAAAAAATAAACACAATCTTTTTTCATGTAACAAAGTAGTAATTTTCCAAAAGGGTAAAAATACATTTAAAAAGTTAACATGAATTTAAATGTAAGAAAAACCACTATCTTCATAGGGTCTCACTAGCAGTTCAGGCCTTGAACTGTGTAGCCCAGGCTGGCCTGAAGCTGGCAGGGATCCTCCTTCCTCAGCCTCCTGAGTGCTGGAATCATAGCTGTGCACCACCATGTATGGCAAAGAAAATGTTTTCAAATAGCTCAGTGCATAGTGCCTGCCTGGCAGGCTCAAGTTCCCAAGTTTGATTACCAATACAAAAAAAAAAAAAAGTTTTTGAAATGGGTCATCTGCTCTTTACTCCCAATTAATATCACAATGATGACTTGCATTTACATCTGAATAAGCATTTAAAGTCAGGGGAACAATGAGTTGCGAAGAGCTTCCAGATCTGTAGCTTTAAATAACAGTGTAGGGCTGGGGGTTTAGCTCAGCAGCATAAGCGCCTGCCTGGCAAGCATGAGGTCCTGAGTTCAATCCCTGGTACTGAAAATAAGTGAATAAATGAATAGATAAATAAATAAAATAAAATAACAGTGTAAATTAGGAAAACACTGCCGTCTTCAACAAGCAGTGAAGTGCAGTACTGGCAGACTATGGTCACACCTGTTTTCAGTCAAGAGCATGAGTCACCTGCCTACCTGACACACAGTGTCCTTCCTACTCATTCCAATGCCTCTTCTGGACAAACTCGAATCCATGGACTGCACGTCAGAAACATCTGCATCTGCAGCAGCTGATGGGCTATCTACTTGTTTTCCAAAGCCTACCTGTATAAAGAACAGCACATTTTTAAGAAAGACAAAACAAAACTTCTGTAGAAGTTAGATGCAAAGAAAATTCTGATAAGACTTGCTCAAGCAGATTATCCTTTGTTTCCTTTTAAAATCCATAAAACTTGTATCTTTATCATTTTGCAACAACCAACAAACAAAGTGTTTCCGCTATGTAAAAGATCAGCAAAATTAAGACATAATTGCCGGATATGGTGATTCACACCTGTAATCCCAGAATTTGGGAGGCTGAGGGAGGAGGATCGCCCTGAGTTTGAGGTCACCTGGGATGCATAGTGAATTCAAAGCCAGCCTGAACTACAGAGCTAGACCCTGTCTCAAAACATGAAACAAAACACTTATAAATTACAAAATAACCAGTGACCTCCTCCCCACAAAGAGTATTTTTAAAATTCCCTGATTTCCTCACATCAGTCAGGCAGAAGAAGCATTACGCTTCTTTGCAAAGCAAAAGATGGCATTCTACCCAGACCCTTGAACATACTTACCTGCAGATCACTCAGTCCTCTAGAATCGGAGTCGGATGCATCTCTGTAGGCTGAACTAGTCATTTCTACATCAGTGGAGGCTCGACTCCTTTTCTTTAGAGGCTTACAGGAATCTGAAATCTCGCTGGCACCTTAATATAACACACTGAAATTAATCCTAAAATAGTACTTAGAGACTGTTTTAATTTTTTGTGTGTGGGAGAATATTTTCCCCCAAACTCATCTTTAGTGTGAAAAAAACCACAGCTTTTCTTTGTAACACTGAGGCCATAGTCAAAACTCTGTAAGCTTCTGACCTTCCTGGTAGTGATTTAATTTACAGCCGCTCTAGTAAAACATTTAATTCAGTTCACCTGCCCTAGTGCCATTTTCAGTCAGCAGAGCCCAAGTTCCAACCTAAAAATCAATTCTCTCAAGACTGCAAAATAGCTGGTTGATTTGGAGCACTTCGAAGAACCATTCAATTTGGAGGGGAGACACAAAACCCAACACACTGTGTAGCTTACAAATATGGTCGCAGAAACATCTCCATCTTGTTTTTATTAGGGATGTGACAAATCTTTGATTTGTATTCGATTCGTACACGGATAGTGCCATTTTCCCCTGAATTTTGCAATTCGGTTGATTACTGCCCCCCAAATAAATTTTGGATGTTCACAATTGTTCATCTGAGACTTCCTTGGTGAAGTGGCATTTATTGTGACCATTAACAAGTGCTGCAGCACATCTACATGTGTCATGCCGTTAGCAGGAACACTGCCGAGGGTAGTGAATGGACAGCATTCAATGCAGCCAAGTCACGAAGAGCTGGATGACAGGCCTCTATGTGGAGTTTATGCGGGAAGGAGTAAACATGAAAAAAAAAAAAAAAGGCAGAGAATAGTGTGGAATTTTTTTTAAAACTCTGTGTAATACAAATCCAGCCAAAACAATAGTGCAAAAAGTTACAAAGCAACAATCTCTTGGGCTAATGCGGTATAGGCTATACAGAAACAGCCACGATGAAATGTGCAGATCAGGCACGGTGAATACCAAGGAACCAAGGAGATGGTTAATATTTCCACCCACAGTTTGTGTTTTGGATTTTCCCCCAAAATTTCCATACAACAGACAGACATCTAGATCAGCCCAGCAAGCTATGGTGGAAGTGTGCAGTCCAGAAGAGACCACAGAGAAACAAGTCTCCTGAGGCCACGAAGATCCGCAACAGGCTGAGTGGGAGCAGCACTTGGTACATAGCCATGTTCTGTGGTGGAGGACGTGGGCCTCGGGAGACTACTCAGATTACTGGAACCTTGTTATCACATCCCATCTACAAGTTTTCCACTGAATGCTTCCTGACAGCTATGAATGAGGGTGCCTGCCCAAGTTAACGCTGATTTAAAAATACAAGTACACAAATCTATCTCCTTCATTGCTGGTGTATGGACCCAGAACACCACCACAAAATATTTCCTTGGCCTAAAAGATCACTGGATTAACAAGGAGTTTTAACAGAGGAATAGGAGTGCTGTACTGAGAGGCTTTCGAAGGGAAACACAGGTACCGCCATTTTCGATGAGTTTCTGAAAATGATAGAAAAATGACAGACTGCTGAAGACAGCTGTCATGCTGTTCTCCATGATAACGGCACTAATATTAAAAAAAATAAGAGCTTTTAATGATTGCAATGTATACAGTTTGGGCTGTTTGGCAAAACCCTGCAGATGTGCATTAATGATGCTTTATTTAAAAACAAAAAACAAAAAACCCTAAAAATAGTCCATGTTGGATTGATCAGTGTAAGTTAAATGGTGGTTTTTAGGCTGGATTCACGATTTAAGCTGATCCAGCTCAGACCAAAAAAAGAAAAAAGAAAAAAAGAAAAAAAGAAAAGAAAAAGGAAAAAAAAGAAAAAAAAAATCATTTGAATGTTAAAGCAATTGTTCAGTCTTGAAGAAACCAGGCAGGAGAATGCCAATAATGATGATTGGCAAAATCGAAATCGAAAACAATGTAACTGTTTATCAAGCCGCCGACAAAGAAATCTTGCATGGAGACTACAAGTCTGGAGTTTCTGGGATGAAATTGTACAGGAATCTCAGTCCACAGTTTCCTCAATCGCTGCGGAGACGGAGCTGTCACTGAATCTGACAGAGCCCTGCACTCCCCGGTCCGCCGACCCTGTGGAATGGTGGAAACACAACGCAATCAGGCCTCCTAATCTCGCAGCGATCGCGATGTCTTTTCTTGGAGCTCCGCCAAGCAGTGTTCCCTCCGAGAGGCTGTTCAGTTCTGCTGAGGATCTCCACGGAGACCATCGCTGCAGACTTCTCCCCGAGAATGCAGAGAGGCTGGTGTTTTATATATTTATTTATTTATTTATTTTTAAATAATGCAATTTGCCCAGAGTAAACTACAGGTATTAAATACAGTTTTGAGCTCACCAAAAAAAAATGCATGAATCATGCTATGGAGTTTGTACTGTAGTCAAATTGCACACAGGAAATACAGAAGCAAGTTTAAGGTTTCTTAAACTTTGTGCGTATCTCAAATAGATTCACATAAAGTCATTTAATAGTGGCCATAAATATGCTATGAATCATTTTAATTTACAAAAAGGTTTTACAGCACTGAAAAATAAATGTGGCAAAAATTTTTTTCAATTGGGTTGTCTTTTCTGATTTGTCATAGTCCATGTTTGACTAGTATTAATAGCTACTATTCGGTATTCAGTCGAATACCAAAAAAAGTGGATTCGTCACATCCCTAGTTTATAAGTCAGTGAAATCCCGGAATTTTATGGAGAAAAGTTGGAAACAGTATCAAGTCTACGTGGTGTTCTCCAATTAACCAAAACAAGACTTTTCACATGAAGGTACAGAGTAAGATCAACTCAAAGAGTCGCACGCACACACACACAAACACGGGAATATTGCAATTTCACACCAAGAAGCAACAACAATGATTTACAGAGACAGACAAAAATACATGAAGTACAAATAAGTGATTCTTTAATACTGGTTTAATCAAGGAAATGCAAAGCAACATTATAATATTAACTCACCTTTCTGTAATCCAGTCTTCACTGTAGCCTGAGGAACTGTTTCAACCTGTTTGGACAGAAAAAAACAGCATTAACAAGGAGGTTTTTTCCTCTTACTTTTAATTAATAGGGAAAAAAATAACACTGTCATCAGTCTAAGTAGTGATGAGTGATCAATGCATCTAAAATCTGAACTCAGTCCCATTTTCTGGGTCAAGTTCTCTGTCTCAAGGCCAGGGAAGGTTTACATCCTAACTACCTGCGCTGAATACCAAGTGACAACACAAAGCCACATGCTCTCTAGCAAAGACGTCTCCCACCATTCCCTTGGTATATGAAAAAAAAGAATACTTTCCTTGGTGTCTGGAAGGCAAAAGAGGGGTTGTCTCTGCAACCAGCCCCAGTGTTGCTATAAACCCCTCCCGCCCCAAAGATGTTAGGATAAATTTTTACTTACTATGATACTCAGGTTAATGTAACTCACGCCACTTTAAGACCCTTCCGCGCCTGCACTCACAGCTAAGTTGCTGGGAATCAGGACCCTCTCTGTAGAGAGTGCTACAGGGCTCCATACAGCTGGAAGCTCAATACTTTTGCTGCTAGTACAAACTTAAGAAAATAAGTTTGTGATATTGCAAAAGCACTTTCTTGAGTGTCTTATGAACAGTGTCTTGATCCTACATTAGGAGAGCGAGATCAGAAGTTATTCTGCCAATGTATATGTAAAACACGTGGTAATTTGAGGACTGAACCATTAGAATCAGAAAAGGTTGCTGTTTGGAGGAGTTCCTGTTTAAGCTATGAGTTGAATTTCATGTTTTAAGATGTGGTGAAATATGCATGTTGAAACACATTTCGTAAATATTTAAGGATTGTTCTAAGCTTTTTAAAAATTTTTTTATTTTTTTACAACAGGTAGAAAAACATACAACATAAGTGCTTTTTATAAGATACAATTAGTCATACAAATATAAAATCTTCTAACAATCACTGGTATTATTCTACTACTAACTGTAACACAGTGGCATTAACAATTTGTCCCATTTTTTGTACTCATTCTGCTTATTAATTTTAAACTGGTCGCAGACTGAATTTGGGAACTAGGTGGCAAAATCACAACTTTATTTTAGTAATGAGTACTATAGATCTGCAAGAGCTGATTAAGATTTTTTGGAATATAATTTTCTAAGTATGAAAGTTAATATACTAAGTGAATGCAAATTAGTGTATTATTTCACTTTTAAATATTCTAGAAAAATTGTTTTACATGCTTGTGATACCATACAGCACCCACAAAGACAGATTTTAAATTTAAAATTATGCAGGCAATATTTTAAATAAAAAAGTCCATACTCTTTTGTAATAAATGATTTTTAAAATATAAAACTTACTGGAACTAATTCTACCTTGAATATGTTCTGTTTAATATCAGGTATCCAGGCTGAATAAATGGATACTCTTTCCCTTTTAAAAAAAGCTTATGAAAATTTGGATTGTGAGTTTAAAGGAGAATGGTTTCTCAAAGTGTCTTTGAAAGGGTAATTGAACATGTATGTTATTACTATATTGATTACACCAGTTGAACACTTTCAGTCAAAATGTATCTCCTCTTCTTTTTCACTTAAATATTGTTTATCTAACCAAGTGAATGCCATTTCATTGGGAAAATAACATTCCAAAAAATCTATGATATCAACAGAAAAACCAGATCACCTATAACTTGCTGCTTCTTAAATAAGTTAATTTGATTTGTTTAAAAAAATGAAAAAAAAAATACTGGTAGTTTAAACCAAAAATCAAAATTTTTAAAAAGGGAATTCAATGATAGGTACCCTCCCCAAATCATGAAGACATAAAATCATTTTGCTCATAACAGAAATTTGAAAATCAATTTGAGAGTTTTAAAGTCTCAAATCACTGGCTTCCCGTCCTCTGAAGCCTGTCTTTTTGAGTGAAAATGCCTACAGCGGAACCCCAGGGATGGTTGTATTAGGACTGGGCACTGGAACCCCCAGGACAGCAGTGTCAGACACTCCAGAAAGGAAACTCAGGCTAGGGGAAGTTTCACTTTCTTTTAAGATACTGAGAGAAGCCACAGCATTACATATACATTGCTTTAACTCTCTACATGTAGGAAGCCAACCTGCTCCTTTTTGATCTTCTTCTTTGGCACAGCCTCCGAGGACTTCTCTGATTCAGAACGAGTCCTAATTGATCTTCTCTGTTGCTTCTTTTCTACTGAGCCTAAGAGGTGATTTAAACACACAAACAGTCATTTAAGGGTGGCTTGACATTAAGATTTGACTAGATTGTTTGCCTTTCTCATCCATTACTTTTGGAATTTTAATTATAAGCCATTAAAAATTTTTAAATATTTGGGAGCACAAAAAATTACTAGTAGATCAAATTGTAAAGGCTGCTGAGCTGAGACTGAGTCCACAAAAGATTCTGGTTATACAAATAAAGGGAGATTGAATTTTTTAAAATTAAAAGTCAAACTGAAACAGTGTTCACGGTGAGTTTTGAAGGCATGTAAACACACTTAGGTAAATATATTTTAGGGGATGAAAGGACTGAAGAGGTGGCTAAAAATGACTTCATTACCCTGTTGACACAGGTAATTATTAATCTGGTTCTTAGCAAATGAGTTTAATTAATTCCATGGGTAAAAAGGTTAATGGTACCTGGTAAGCTTAAGTAAGTTTTGCTACTGTCGTTAATACTGAAGATAAGAAAAGCAGCAAAGGCACAAACCTAATCATCAATTTGAAAATCAAGAGACTTTTGTTATTCTTTGGTAAAATTCATAAAAACCTACTTGAAACAAATTATTAAGCTTGTCCATGTTAATTTAAGAAACTAAGATTTTTAAAAACAGTATATTCTTTAAAAATAAACAGAAGACAACTCACATGGACCCCATTTAATGGGTAAAACTCAGAGAGAAAACCACAACTTGAAAAACCACTAAGTTAGGTCTGATTTTGGTGTGCGATCTTAAGGAGAAATGATACTTTCAGTGTGGCTGGTTGTCATGTTTTCAATACTTGGGCCATAAAATGGTCCTCTAGAGCCTGTGTGGTGGTGCATGCCTGCAGTCCCAGGATCCAGGAGGCTAAGACAGGAGGATTTAGCAAGTTCAAGACCAGCCTGGACTACACAGCCCAAGCCCAGCCCAAACTACATAGCAAGACCTTCATCTCAAAACAAAACACAACAAACACAAAAATCTATAAAGTCAGATAGAAGCCATTCCATTACAGCCTTTCAGATAACCTTTGTATTTTCTGATTTCATTGCTCTGAGTTATATATAAATATAACCTTCACCTTCGTTCAAAGTCAAACAGAAGAAGGATCCCACTACAGTAGTGTGTTTTCGATGAGGAGTGGATAGTTTGCTATTAGTCTATTTTGGAGCTGTGATTAATGTTTTTACCAGAGAGGTCACAAAGGTGTTGGCTCCTTCCTTTCAATGCCTACTAAGTCACCAGCTATGCTGCTGTCCTACAGGCAGCCAAGGATCCCAACAATCTATACTTCAATCTAATCAGCATTATTCAAGTACAACTAGGAGAAACAAAAATATAAATGGAACTGCTTAAAGTCAAATAGGAAACTTCATTTGTTTTGATGATGACAATATACTGCAGATAAAGGGCAGATTGGATCTGTGGTCTTAGAGGGATGAAGCTTCCTAAAAGCATTCTGAAAAGTACCCACCAAACAGTACTACAATGCTTATCTTCTAAGAGACAGGAGGCGAGTATGTCTGGATTTGCAAAATAGCTTAAAAATCTACTGTGAAAGCAAATATAAAATGTTCAAACTACAGAAATGCAGCAATGCCATCTACCTTATGTATTTCCTAAGTTTACTGAAGCTCAAGAATTCTCTTTCTATGTTAACACACTTAGTGCAATTGACTTCTGAAGGAAAACAAGTTTCCTTCCTTACCTTTTCACTACTAAAAGTCAACTTTCACACACACAAAAGCAAAATGGTCACTTAAAAATACAAAGTATGCTTATCAACCACGGTTGGTAGACAAACTTAAATCAACACTGAAGCTTCAGAGCACTATTCCTAAAATAAGATTCCAGTCACAATATACAACCAAAACCTATGCACCTGCCAAAGGCACTAGCTGGCCTTTTTCTAGCTACAAAGAATTACAACCTTCCACTTAATTAAGAATAACTTCATAGAACCTAAATCTCCCCCTCTCCCGGGTACTAGGGATCAAACTCACCACTGCATGCTTGCAAGGCAGGCCCTTATGCCACTGAGCTAAATCCCCAACCCCTAGAACTTAAATCTTACAATAGAAGGATTACATGAAAATGTTCACTAACTGAGCAAAGGGGACAAAAAGAAGTTCCATTAAAAATAAAAGTACCGGGGAAGCAGGCAGTCATGAGTTCCATCCCCAGTAGGGGGGAAGGGGGAGCCAAAAAAAAAAAAAAAAAAGTACCAGCACTTGGGAGGCTAAGGCAGGAGGATTGTTGAGAGTTTGAGATTGGCCTGGGCTACAGAATAAGTTCAAGGCCAACCTGAACTGCATAGTGAAACCCTGTCTCAAAAACACAAAAACTGAATGAATGAACGAATAAACAAATAAATAAATAAATAAATAAATGTATATTGTATATTTAGGATCAGTCTAACATATGCAGAATCTATTTTCTCTCTGGTTACAAACTACGGATGTAATTTTTAAAAGATTATCTCCCTAATCTAGGCATCCCACTTAATTTCAGACAAATTAATAACAGAGGAATATGCAGGTCCCAGCACTCAGAAAAAAAAAGTAAAGAGAGATAACAGAACTGACATACCTCTGAAAAGCTGAAGCTGAAAGCTACTTCATAGTCAAAGAAAACAAATGTCTTTAATTATGGCTGATTAATGCAAAACTAAAGTCCATTTTACTCAATCAACATTATAATTTTATTTTTTTTATACAATGGTAGCTTGGTTCACAAACTTAAATTCTTTCCATGATTTTAGTTCCTGTCCAATTCAGTTTGCAACCACAATCATGGAAAGAATTAAGTTTGTGAACAAAGGTACTCATGTGTTTATTATTATTAATTTTACTTCATTTTATTTTTTTGAGACAGGTCTTACTACGTAGTCCAGACCAGCTTTAAATTCACTATGTGGCCCACGCTGGCCTCAGACTTGCAGTGCTCCTCCTGCTTCAGTTTTCTGAGTGCTAGGATTATAAGTGTGGCTCCACACCTGCTACAATTTTTATTTTATTAAACAGGATTGTGAAACGACACAAACTATAAACCTGATTCTGGATTTTGCTACTCCCTCCTTTCTTTGGTTTTGCTTTCTTTCCTACCTCAATACTGAACAAAGGCATACTTAACAGACACTCACCAACATGTGCCCCGCCACCATTTCTGCCCTGCAGCCCATCACTGCTTTTTAGAAGACCAAATCCTTTTCTAAACAGTAATTATTTTTACTGGGCTTTTAAAAGAGACTTTTAAATTTACTTCTAAAAATACCTCTTCACGCCACTCAACACAGGTTTGCCTGTTTTACTATTGACTGAAGATTACTACTGCAGCGCTTATAACTTTGATTCTTCCAGAAAATTATGTGGTCACTGTGACATTGTGATATAAGATGTATTTGGTCTTTGCCCCTGGTTCTTGGCACATGGATCCTAAATCCCTTGCAATTTTATACATGATAGGGGTACTAGGTGCATCCTGTTGTAATATTTGGTCTTGGGCTTCAACTCCTGACAGCGTTCTAATGCTCTGGGACTTCCTGAAGTGACAGAAGGAATGACGTAGCTCCTGATGGACTCCTAGGTAGGGGTTGGTCACCACAGACCAGACCATGATAAACTGTCAGCCCCAAGTCAACTTCCACAGAGGGAGACATCTGGAGACTAATGAATCACACCTACATCATGAAGCTCACATAAAAACCCTGAACTTGCCAGGTATGGTGGCGCATGCCTGTAATCCTAGCACCTGGGAAACTGAGGCAAGAGGACTATTGAGAGGTTGACACCAGCCTGAATTACAGAGTGAGACGCTGTCTCCAAAAAACAAACATCCTGACACTATGGGGTTTGGAGAACTCCCAGTTTGAGGAACACATGGATGTGGTGAGAGAGTGTCAACCCATGGAGTTCTGCAGCTCTTTGTGCATGTGCTGCTTTGGCTGTCTCTTCCATGTGGCCTCTATGATATCCTTTATAATAAGCTGGTAAATGCAAGTAAAGGGATTTCCATGTTTGGAGAATTGGTCATTGTGGCAAAAATCCACCCATACAGGTCAAGGAAGTATGTTGATTAGTCGAAGTACAGTAGAAAAGCAAAGAGTTTGTTGTTTTTCTGTATTGTATAGTCACTTCTTAAGATTAAACCAAAACAGAATAAAACATTAAAGGATGGGGTTGGGGGTTTAGCTCAGCGGCATAAGCACCTGTCTTGCAAGCAGGAGGTCATGAGTTCGATCCCCGGTACCAATTAAAAAAAAAAAAAAAATTAAAGAACAAAATAAAACAAATCTCCAAAACTAAGATTCCAAATGACCAAATTAATCAATACCTAACTTTTTTTTGGTACTGGCAATTGAACTCAAAACCATGTGCTTGCCAGGCAGGCAACTGCACCACTGAGTTATTTTCTTGGCCTTTGGGTTTTTTTTTTTTTTTTTTTTTTTTTGGTCTTTTTGAGCCAGGGTCTTGCTATGAGGTTCAGGCTGGTCTTGGGCTCACTTTGTAGCCAAGGATGGTCTTGAACTTTATTGATCCTCCTGCCTCAGCCTCCTAAGTGCTAGGATTACAGGAATGTGCTGCCACACCCAACTTACAGTTGTATTCTTATGGAACTATCATTTTTTAAATTTCTAAAGGAAAAATAACTTATTATGAATAAAATTCTTTAGCCCCTAATCCACTATTTCCATTTGAAATAATTGTTTTCATAATTAAACTTTTTAAAATTTATTCATTTATTTAATTTTTTTTTTTTGCCTTCTTGAGACACTGTCTCACTATGCAGTTTAGGCTGGCCTTGGGCTCACTTTGTAGCTCAGACTGGTCTCAAACTTGTAATGATCCTCCTGCTTCAGTCTCTGTAGTGCTGGGGTTACAAGAGTGTACCACCACACTCGGCTTTGTTTGTTTATTTTTGAGATGGGGTCTTGCTATGTTCCTCTGCCTGGTCTTGAATGCCTGAGCTCAAGTGATCCCTCTGTCTCAGCCTTCTCAATATGAGACTATAAAAGTGCACCATCATACTTAGCTCAGTAATTTACTTTTGATGATGAAATGTCTTAGTAGCACTGAAGAACAGAATGATGATCTCTCAAAATGGACTCCCCATTCACACCCACCTGTAGGACCAGATGTTGCTTCAGGAGATGATACATTCTGTGTAGGCTTTTCACTTCTCTGGTTTGGTGAGGAAATTATAAGCCTGTCTTGCCCCCTGACACTTATTTCCGTTTTGTTACCAATTCCCTTTAAAATAAGGCAAAATTAAAAAAAAAAAAAGGTAATTACCAGGCAAAAGGCATCATGGACTTATGAAGTTGGCTAATATGATTATAATTTGCTTGAATCTACTAATCTTTGATTATAATACATTTATGTTAGCCATTATCACAACAATTTTATTGCCATCGATATGTATTTGAACATGGACAATGAGAACACGTGGACAAAAACTGCTGGTCTAAGTCCAGATGATAGCTATTCCTAAGAAATAAACTTGGATCACCCAATACTCTGGGAAAAAAAAAACAAAACACTTTTTTTCCCCAGAATATTGGGTGCTATTTTCTGTTCTGAAATTTCTTCTTTTATACATATGACAGACAACTCTAGTCACTGTCATTTGATAAAAATGCCCTCCTACAAAACAGAAAAATCAACAGTCTAAAGAGACAAGAACATTCTCAGATACAGAAACATGTCATTTGTGATGACCAAAATGTGATCAATAAGTAATGCTGAGCAGACTGAAGGTAGGTAAAATTCATTTAGGTCTCAACCATTTTTAATATAAAGGAATAGAAATAAAGGAGTGTTTTATAAGTATGCATTTTTTAAAAATCAGTTTTATCTCAAATTTCCTTTAAGTAACATTGCTATAGGTGAGAGGACCAAGTTTGATTTGTGCATCCAGAAGCAGATAAAACTAGCTCCAAGAATAAGGTCAATTTGCATTTTTAAAAGATTCAAAACTCTTGCTATTGCGAGAATGAAAGTAGAGATCAAACATAAGCTTTACCAGGAGCCCTAGAGGATCCTTGAACAAGTCTAAGGAAATATATTACTAATGAGGCAACCTTACTTTTAATTAATTATTTTAATATGCAGGTGACTATGTTAGGAAAAAAAAAAGGAATTCATTATTTTTAAAGCAAACCCAAAGTTGTGTGGGTTTAGGGAGTGGCGAGGTATATAGATGCTATCGATGGTTACGGAAGGGCTCTGACATCTTTAGGGCCAGGGCAGGCAGAGAGAGGCATTCCATTTATGGTGACTGCGTCTAACCCATCCCCCAGGCTATCGCAACAATTAAATGTCACAAGACCAACAGTGTTGTGTTTCAATAAAATGCAGTTAGATATCCTGAGGCCAGGAGTCTAACAAACTTGCTTGGTTGCTGTTGCAACTAAGCAGGTCAGCAAGTAAGACTTAGTACAGTAGTTTTTACCATAATAGTTACTTTAGATAACTGAAAAAATGATTTTAATAAGAAGCACATATTGCAACAAAGAAAAACTGCTCAGACTAGAAACAGGCAAAATGCCCAATTTTTTTCCATGACTTTTGGGAGCTAAACTCAATTTTGGCTGCATAGCTCAAGATTAATCTACTACAGATGGGAATATTACAAAAGAAAAAAGTAGACATTTTGTCTGTGTCTTTTTTTGCCCACAGGGTAAACGTGACAGTAGATTTCAAATGTGGGCGATACAAAGAGTATTTAAGCTATATCCTTGTATTGGTCTTTAGATGCCAAGGTTGACTACTTTTAAAATAACCCCCTCAAAAAAATGAAAATCAAAGAAAAAACAACACTAACTAAACAAAGCCATTAAAAAAAGAGGTACCTTTGTTGAATAAACAAACTGATCAATAAATTTCCCATCTCCTGTTGCGTTCTGAAGAGCAAACACCTGTTCGATTTTTACAACTGGGGACATGTTACACTTCTGCAAATCCAGGCTCCCTTTGTGCATTGTAATGGAAGCTGGTAAGGATTTCCTCGCAGCTGCTGTCTTCCAGGCTATCTTAACAGGGGGTGAGTCTTCCTCTTCCACACTTGTGTGCCGCCTCTGACTGTGTCTCCGAAGGTCAGAACTTGACTGTGAGGAGGCCACCTCCCCTGCATTGGTCTGTTCTGGTTGAGCATTCAACACAGATCTTGGTCTCCGGGGTTTTTTAACTTCGGTCTTGGAGGCAGCATTCTTTTTTGTCTGCGATAAAGCCTCCTCGGGCTGCTTATCAATGTAGATGAAAGTATACTGTTCTATTCTTTCTTCTCGAGTCATTTTCAATGCTTTTTCTGCATGGGCAATGCCAATATCCCACTGGGCACGTTCTCTCTGAGGTCGAGGTTTCCGAATCTTGGAAAAAGGCACAGGCATTATTTTGATACACTTTAACAGGTACACTGAAACCAAATGCATTTCCCATTTGCTTTGGTTATCTTTTTAGGTATGCTTAAGTATCTTTGGGTTCTTTAGTCAAGTAAGTGGAATATCTTAATTCTGTGATTTAAATTAGTACTACTCTACTAGATGTCTTAAAGGTCTATTCTCTTATACATCCTTCCTCTGATGACCACTTGCTGGACAAGTTCCCCAAAGAGGGAGCTGTCCTTACATCACAGTCACAAAATGCTAGTGATAATTAGGGAAAAGAGAGGAAAGGTTACAAAAATGACTCTTTTCAGTGACCAACTGAACACTAACATTAAGACTAATAATCCAAAGGTCTCATTTTTCCTCCACGGCTAGAGGGTGGGGATAACTCAGGGGTGCCATGGAGATCACAAGGCAAACTGGCAGAGAACCAACACAGATGTACTGTTAGTCTGAAACCTCAGTAAATAGGGACAGAAAAGAGTGAAAGGAGGGAGAAGGAAAAAGGAATAAAAGCTGGCAAGACTAAGACAGCAGGCGTGTGCAAGAGAAAAAGACACAGCAAACCCAAATTACAGTTTCTACAGGTCTCTTAATATCCAGGGTTGATCGGAAGGCTTTGGACTAGCAAGAGAAGTAACACAGCGTTGAATAAAACTGTGTGAGGTGGCGAAGGCAGGGATCAGAAGTGTATGAGATGACTGAAGCAATCAGGAATTCTTCGAAGGTTAAGTGGAAATAGAGTCAAGTCAGTTAACAAAATTATGAGAAAGTACACAGTATGTCACATTCTAATGTGTAAGTCTGTCAGTCCTAAGACTCATAAAACAAACTGGCTCTCTGTGATAACATCTAACTTTTAAAATTAAAAACAGCTCATCCATGAATTACAAATGACCCAAATTATAATGAGTTTAAAATCACAACCAGATTATCAGAAGAAACTGTCAAAACTACCACTACAGCAAAACGTATTTGTTGATTCCATCACGCAGCAGTTCTTGGGTGAACCAGTCACATACACTCTGTACCTTAGTTTCTTTAGCTACTGAAAAAGAGTAATAGCACGTAGGTTACTGTGAAGATTAAATGAGTTCATACATATAGAAATCACTTCAAAGTATCTCTCACAGAAGGTGTTCACTGAATATTGTTTCTTCTTTCTTCTGGGTTTTTAAAATTTTTATTGGTGCATTTTAGATATACACAGTGATAAACTCATCATACAGAATTTATACCTGTACATCGACTAGCTTACTTCTTTTTTTCCCATTCTCTCCCTTCAAATCCTCTTCCCTTGTTCATTTACAAAAGTTTTGCTTCCATTTTTTCTTTTTATCCCTTCTTTCCTTCCCCCTCAGTGAATACTTTTAAACTTAACTTCCATAAAACAATTTCGTTTAAAAAGGAGGAATTATAAGACGCTGAAATATGAAAAAAAAATTTAAACCCTTGGAAAAATCCAAATTTCACTTACATCTTATAGACTTATGTACATTAACTCAATTCACAAAAGAACTCAACACTATATTAAGCAGATAAAGCTTTTAATACTGTATAGTGTTATTTATGCAACATAAACTAGTTGTACTTACAAATCTACTGATTCCCTTGCAATGATTAAAAGTGAACTTAAAGGAATTAAAATGACAAAACATTGTAAAAATGGTCTGAATTCAACTGTGAAAAATTGTGAATTACTAAGTCCTTTAAAAGCCATATTAGGGCTGGGCGCAGTGGCTCATTCCTGTAATTCTAGCCCTGAGGAAGCTGAGGCAGGAGGATCATTACGAGTTTGAGACTAGTCTGGGCTACAAAGTGAGTTCAAAACCAGCCTGAACTGCATAGTGAGACCCTGTCTCAAAAAGACAGCCCCCCTCAAAACAAAATAAACAAACAAACAAACAAACAAAAAAAACCATTATTCAAGGCTGGGGATATAGCTCAGCAGCACAGTAACTGCCTGGCAAATGTGAGTGAGATCATGAGTTCAATTTCTGGTACAAAAATACACACTATATTCAAGGACTGCGCTGGGGTACAGGGCAGTGGTAAAAACACATGCCTGGCATAGATCTGATACTCAGCATCAAATCATGTGTGTGAAAACACCTGCACACATGCACAAGAGACTAATAAAAATACTTAGTTTTTAAGAATTTTGTCACCCTTTTAAAAAAACTGGTTTCAGTGCTTGCTTTGTCAGCACATATAGTAAAAAAAAACTGGTTTCATTCTGGCAGATTTATACATGTGCATAACACAATCACCTTCACCCTCGTCACTCCTCTTGTCCCAGCCCTGTTTAGAAGAGGCACTGTGTGCGCATTTTGCCCATATTCACCCTCTATGACCCACCCATACAACCCTTCTCCCCTTATTCCCTTCCTCTTATCTTGTAATAGTCTTTCTTCTACTTTCTGGGTGTGTATTTTGGATTCCACATATTAAGGAGCACAATTCTCTTTCTGAATTGGACTTAATAAAAATATTAATATGTTGTCTTTACCTTTTGTTTTTCAGAGTGATTGCTGGCTTGTTTGGTGGCTTCAGCCAGTAATTCTTCATACTGTTTATGACCTTTATACTCCCGTACCCGCTTTTCATGAACCCACGCCCTCTCTGGCTGGTTGCTAAAAAACTGGACATGATATTCCCGGGCACCTGTAAGTAAAAATTCTCATTAACTATGTCAAACAATAGCATCCACATATACTGTACTTAGCCAAAAGGGCCTCTTACCTAGGTTTCTTCTTATTCTGGCATTGCAATTTGTGTATCCAGAATTGTCCAAGGACATATTCCAAAACCTACCAATTACACAACCAACAGCTTCTATGAAAACTACTCCAAAAGCTAGGTTAGGGGCTGGGGATTTAGCTCAGTGGTGTAAGCGCCTGCCTAGCAAATGTGATGTCATGAGTTCAATCCCCAGACCCCACCCTCCAAAAAAAGTAAGTGTGGTACCACATTCCTGTAATTCCAGCAATCAGAGAAACTGAGGCAAGAAAATAGATTTAGTAAGATTATATACAAATTTAAAAAGAAAATATACTTTAAAAGGGATGGGGATATTGCTCAGTGAAAAGGCGCTGGTTCAACCCCAGCACTAGTGGGAAAAAAGAAATTACTCCAAATGATTAAAATCAGTACAGCAAACTTCAAGTGAAAAGCAGAGATTCTGCTAATTACTACATTTATTACTTTACTTAAAATATTTTACTTAGCAGCACTGGGGCTTGAACCCATGACTACATCCTTGGCCTTAATTTTGAGACATGGTCCTAGTAACTCAGGTTGCCCAAGCTGAGCTTCAACATGCAATCTTCTTGTCTTGGCTACCCAGAGTCCTGAGTTTACAAGTACCTACCTTCACACCCAACATAATTATACAATTTATTTTTACTTGCTGTCAATCTTTTTACAAACTGGGTGGAAATGTTTCCTTTGAAAAATTTATGAGCTTCTTTCCTTGGACTTCTAAAAGACAAATGATGATCAAATTGATCTTCCCGCTAGATGCATAGAAGATTCAGGGGTCCTGTGAGGTGTCAAAACTGTTTCTATGACATATCACTGGTCTTTATTACTATGTTAACCTTTGTACTTAACAGTAACAAAAGCAGTAGCAGATAAGACTTTCAGCCAAGTATTGTGGCCATGCCTACAGTTCCAGTACTCAGGAGGCTGAGGCAGAAGGAGTATTGCAAGTTTGAGGCAAGCCTAGGCTACACAGTGAGTTCAAGACCAGCCTGTACTTTATAGCAAAATCCTGTCTCAAAAATCAATTAATCAGTCAAGGAATTTTTTAACAATTTAAAGACTGCTGGCCTCCTAGACTGAATGGAGACAAAATGAAAAAACCAAAGTACATCCATTTCACAGTTATTAACTGGCATTAAAGGGCTGAGGATATAGCTCAGTGGCATAAATGCCTGCCTGGCAAGCAAAAGGTACTGATTTTGATTCCCAGTACCAAACAAAAAACAAAACACAAAAAACTGGCACTTAAAAAAAGTTTTACTTACTGTCCTTGATGAAGCAATAAAAATTACTAACTTTCCTAACTCTTGAGCCTCAAATATACATTTCTTCAATCCTCTGTCTGATGAAAGGGAAACAGGGGAAACCCTAGCCTACGTGGAATACGAATGATGCTGTCTTGAGGAGGACTGCTGTGAATGAGTGACACTGAGCCAGCCACTGCTGAAAGTGAAACATCACTTTTACTAGCAAACATGTCCGAAAGAAGAGCTATGGTTATTCAAACTTCAGTATTTGGCAGATACCTCCTCAAAAGTGAGGTGTTCTTTACTTCAAGGAAAACAACAGTATTCATTGCCAGTAATAAAATGTGATCTTTCAGGCAAAATTCTAGGAAAATGGTTTTTGACTCTGAATCAGCTAGCTTTCCAATAATCAAAAACTCTTCTAATAAAATAAGCGTGATATTAACTAATGTGATTTAGAAGATTATCTTTAACAGAATGTATTAACATTTGAAAGAGCTATTTTTACATGACTCAACAGACTAATAAGAGTTTTTAAATGGCCAATGAATGCAAGATGCTACCAAATTTATATATGGTAAAAGATCCAGAGTGCAAGATAGAACCAGTGGATTTTAGTGCAAAAAAGTACCAAAAGTTCACTGATAGAATTTCAGATTCTACACTGTACCTAACCCAGTGTTTTTTTTTTTTTTTTCTTTTTTTTTTTTTTAAAGTTTTGGTGTAATAGCAAAGAAAAATATCCACAATTATCTGAAAGGGTTGTTAAAATACTGTTCTTGGCCAGGGCCTTAGCTCAATGGCACTACTGTTACCTGGCAAGCATGAGGTTGTGAGTTTGATCCTCAGTACCAAAAACAAAACAACTGTTCTTTTTGCCTACTGCACCTCTGTGTGAGGTTAAGATTATCTTAATAATCTACTTCAATCAAAAAAGTCAAAACAGAATGAATATAGAAGTATAACTGAGAATCTAGAATCTTCATCTAAGCCAAATATTAAAGAGATTGACAAAAATGTACAATAATTTCTTGAAGTTTTTCATAAAGATATAATTTATGATACATGTTATTTTAAATAAATTATCAACTGTTATAAATTTTTTCGGCTTTAGCTTCTAAATTTAAATAGGTATAATCCACAAACACTGTAATCAGAAGTTTTTATGAGTCCTCAAATTTTAAAGGTAAGATTTCTTTTTTTTTTTTTTTTTTTCATTTTTATCGGTACCAGGGATCGAACTCACGACCACCTGCTTGCAAGGCAGGTGCTTATGCTGCTGAGCTAAATCCCCAGCCCCCTTCAAATTTTAAAGGTAAAAAGTGTGCTAGCACATTGCCATGTGGTGGCACTCTTTGCAATCCCAGTACTCGGATCATCATGAGCTCAAGGCCAGCCTGAACTAGACAGCAAGACCCTGTCTCAAAACAAAATATAACAAAACAAAACAACTAAAACTACAGGTTCTATTCGACTTAGCTATTCCTCTTCTCAGTATCTTCCCAAACGAATTAAAAGCAGCAAACCATAGCAATATATGGACACTCATGCTTATAGCAGCACAGCTTGTAATAGCTAAATCTTGGAAATAGCCCATCATCTGATGAATGGATAAAGAAGATGTGAGGTTTTTTTAAATAATACAATGGAGTGCTGTACTACCCTGCCATAAAGGAGGATAAGCTGGAGACATCTAGCTAAATGGATGCACTGTAAGTGTGACCATACTCTTTTAAGTGAAATAAATCCACGTAAAAAATCACATTTTTGTCTATGATATGAGAAACTCAAAGAATAAATAAGAACCAAAATATGCAATAGACATTGTGAAATAGAAATTGTTCAAAAGGAAATGGGAACTAGGGAGTGAGGAGGGGGAGAGGAAAAAAGGGACAAGAAAAAAACTGACTCAAAGCTTTTGTAAATAAGAAAGGGAAGAGGGGCTGAAGGGAGGGGGTGGGAAAAAAGATATACTACGTACAGGTCTAAATTCTCTATGATGAATGTTATCACTGTGTATATCTAAAATGTACCAATAAAATAAAAAAAAAACAATCTCAGTATGACTGTTGTTTTTAAAACGACTGAAAACTAGGGCCAAGGATATAGCTCAGTGGCCTGCTTGGCAAGCATGAGATCTTGAGTTCGATTCCTAGTACCAAAAAAAAAAATCCAGAACACTAGCTTAAAATAAAAACCAAAAAACTGAAAACAAAAAGAATATTTTGAATATTATCAAGATATATGTTTCTTAACCTAAATTCTCTTATTTTCTGTAGTAATATTTTTTAAAAATTAGTTTTCCCTGCACTAAAGTAGGAGATTGCTAGAGGATTGTGCCAGACAAGAATAATTAATAAAACTAAGTTTTAGGGGCTGGGGCTTTAGCTCAGCGGCATAAGCACCTGCCTTGCAAGCAGGAAGTTGTGAGTTAGATCCCTGATACCAATAAAAACTGAAAAAGACAAAAAAAAAAAAAACAAAAAAAAAAAAAAAAAAACCTAAGTTTAAATACTTCCTTTAAAATACAGATGAGGCATAAATTGTGTTTTCATTTGTATTTCGCAAAAGAGCTAAAATTAGCAGGTTTTCATAAAGTAATTAAATGTGAAATCTTTAATCTCAAAAGAATGCTTTCCTGAGCAGGGAGAACTGAAGAGCCACAATTCTTACATGATGCAAATTTCTCTGTGAGTTCAGAGGCTCACACATGGACAAAAATTGTTTCGTCTAAGAAGATCTGGCCTCCTTGGAGGGTCCTATCCTTTCTTTTCCTATCTGCAGAACCATGGATTATTAGAGCTGCAGAGGGATTGGTCTGACATCCGATACAGAGCCAGGACAGGGCTGATCCTCTCACAAATTTGACTCACCAGACTCATGTGGGCACTCTTTCCCCAAAACAGCAACAAGTGTAAGGTGAAAGAAAAGCACAGGTGCAAATTTGTCATAATGAGGAAGTCATACACAATAAAAATGACTTTATAAAGGAAATAAACATCCAGAAGTAAGTTCCAAGCTCCACTCTCCAGGCTGAGGTGTAGCTGTGCAGCAAAGTACTTGCTTAGCATGTGTGAAGTCCTGGGCTCAATTCCCAAAGGGTATCACACACATGCACACACACACATGCTGAGTACACACACAAAAGAAAAACATTTGAATACATCCTAACTGTTAACATTTCTAAGGTAAGATCCTATGCTATAAATTGCTAGATTTAAACTATACTTCTGTCATTTCAAATATACAATGATGCCACAGGAAATTTTCAGATTCAAAAATCGAGTGGAAGAGGAAGAAACCATTCTCTGTTGTATGTATTAGAATAAAAAATACTCATCTAGGGCTGAGGATTTAGCTCAGCAGCATAAGCGCCTGCCTTGCAAGCTCAAGGTTGTGAGTTTGATCCCCAGTATCCCCCCAAAAAAAGCACTTACCTAATTAAAAAAAATTACTATCCATAGGACTCAGTGATAAAATTAAAGAAAGCTGGCCTTCAATAAAGCTCATATAAAACATATTCATAGGCTTTCTTCAGGAAATATGAAAGCAGTCAGATAAAGATCTTTTAAAAATAGAAGTGTGACACAGAGGTATGGCTCAATAGTGAAGCACTTGCCTGATGTTGCCATTTGTATCTAGATATATCCTGGGATTTCCCGATTTCTTAGGTGAGGCTTTGGAAGGTGACAGATCAGTTTAAGGTGACTTTAGGAGGTAAAGCCTGGTCAGAGGAGGTGGGTCTGGGGCGCGGCCACGAAGAGCCCCCTCACTCCCTTTCTCCCTGACTCTTCTCTGCTTCCTGCTGCCCTGTGAGGAGCAGGCCTCCTCTGCCGTGCTGCCTGCCCTGAGCCTGGAGCCAGAGTATGGACTGAAACTGCTTCGAACAGTGAGCCAAAATCTTTCCTCCTTGTAGTTGTGGGTGTCAGGTATTATGTCTCAGCGATGAGAAAGTAACTAGGACACTTGGAATACATGAAATACTAGGTTAGATCCCCAGCAAAACATACACATACACACACCCACACACAAAGAGGAGGAAAGAAACTGTAACCAAATGCAAAGTATTACAAGGGAAAATGAGGATTACACCACTTGTAGGAGCTCTCTATCAGAAGTAAGATGCCCAAAATTATTTCAGTAGTTCTTAAAACAGATACAGAGGGTAGGGGAGATAGCTCAGCAGCATAAGTGCCTGCTTGGCAAGTACAAGGTTCTGAGTTTGATTTCCAGTACCAAAAAAATTAATTAAATAAATAAAACAGATATAGGTATGCACATTTTTGTGCAAGATTATATATTATGTATGTATTACTTGCATGTGGAGAGGCGGGGTATTGGGAGTTAAGTGTAGGGTCACTGCACTAAACAACTTTCCTAGCCCTTTTTTGAGACAGGTTCTAAGTCACTAAATTGCCCAGGCTGAGCTGGAACTTGTGATCCTCCTAAGCCAGCCACGCAGAGTGCTGAGATTTATAGACATGTGCCACCACACCTGGCTTATTCTTATATTCACATTTTACATTTAAAGTTCTCTTATTGCCAACTTTTTCATTAATATCCACTTATAATTCTCTTACCTCTTGTGTTAATTTTGGTATGAACCTCGAGTTGGGGATCACTTGAAACCATACAAGGCCACCAAGGATAGGTTCCCACCTTGGACCAAACAAGATCACCGACCTGGAACTTAATACCAGTGGTCACTTCTGTGGTTGGGGCAGAAGTCAGTACTGGCTGAACCTATGGGAAGAGTTCACAAAACTCCATCAGAAGTAAACTAAAACAAATAAACTTTATACTACATACACCAAAAAATGCCAACAATGTAAAATGTATCTTACTTATTACATACCTTTGATACCTGCTACCTATAACCAAAAAGGCAGAAGAAAGGAGGAAACAAAGTAACCCCTACCCCAAATTCTGTACTGAACACAGGACTGTTTTCGGTTGCCAAATTATTGATAAAGTGTCTTGAAATCCACATATAGTTCTTCAAAGGAAAATTCACTGAAAATATTTCCTTTTTTTTTTTCGTTGTTGTCTTGTTTTGAGACAGTCTCACTATACTGTAGCTCAGCATGGTCTCAAACTTGCAGAGATCCTCCAGCTTCAGTCTCCCGAGCACTAGGATTACAGCTGTACATTACTACACCCAACTGCAGTTACTGCTACTTTCTTTTTTAAAAAATATCTACTTCTTCAACCACTTCCAAGATTTATTTCAGTAATATTTCTAAAATAAAGTGTGGAACTATAATAATACACTTGTTGCAATTCCATCATTTTGCTTTCTCTCCCTTTCAACCCCACTTCTGGTCAGACAGTAGCCAACAAAGCAACTCACCAGGGCAGTGTCCTTGAGCACTGCCTCTTCTCTTGGTTTCTCTGGTGTGGGGTCCACCCTCTCATTTGGTCTCTAGGTAAAAAGGTGGATGCAAATAGAATAAGGTGGCAGCAAACCAAAGAACAGTAATATTACGAGGTTAAAGAAAATTATACTGCAATGAGAATGAAAGACGTTAAATGAACACTGTAAGGAGTAAATAAATATACCTCCTATTACTTATTTGATTACTTTCAAAATTGAATTTCTAATTAAACTGTATTTTCAACCTCCTAGATTGAAAGAGTGGAAGGGGCACTCAAATTGTTTCTAATATGAGTCTTTTTTTTTTTTTGATACCAAGAATTGAACTCAGGATTGCAATGTGCTCGCTAGGCAGGCACTGTGCCACTGATCTATATCCCCAAAGTTATCCTAATATGTAACCTAGAACTTTTCTGGAGAGCAACTTGGCAATATGTATGAAAAGCCTCAAAGTTTTTAGATTCTGACCCAGAAAATTTACTTCTAAATGTGTGTATTGAAAACATTTTAAGTCAGGCGAGGTGGCACACACCTGTGATCCTAGCACTTGAGAGGTTGAGGCAGGAGAATTGCTGCAAATTCAAGGCCAGCCTGGGCTAAACAGTGAATCCAGGCCAACCTAAACTACATAGTGAGACCCTGTCTCAAAAAAAAAAAAAAAAACCAACAAAAACATTTTGAGAAGTAATCTAGCTATAAAATTTGGAAGTACTATTATACTCAAAATACATATATTTTTCAACTTAGCAACTAAATTTCAGAAAATCACACTATAGAAACACTTAAAATAAGAAGACTCTAGCTAGACAGGTAGCAACTTAAGTAAAAACAACGTAAGGCTTGCATTGTTTAACTGACTTTGCAGGCCTAAAAGCCAGTAATCTCAGCATCTATTTAAAGGGTAACAATATGCAATATAGCAACTATGGGGGATTTCCTACTATTGTGCCTTTGAAATAGGTATTGTACTATTTAGGAACCAGATCTCTAACGGTGAAGTAAGCAAATGTAGATATGGTGTTTAACCTGAAGAACCTTACAGACTTGTATGTCAAACAGAAACACAAACATCCATTTATCAAGCAGGAGCTCCATGAAGAGAGAATGGTTTTAGATATGACAGGAAGGAGAAGCAACTCTAACAAAACTAGGTTATACTCTGAGAATCAAAGAGGAGCTAGCTTAATAAAATGGAATGGACAGTGTAGGAGAGAGAACAGGAAGCTTGAGCTACCCGAGGTTTAAAAGGTAGAAACTGTAAGAAGAGCACAACTACCGATCGAACAGCCCAAGGAAGACAGTTACGAGATGAGGGCTGAGAACAGGCTGAATCACGAGGCTGTGCAGCACACCACATAAAGTGTGTGCAGTTTATCCTAAGTGCAGTCAAAAGCCACCGAAGAGGTCTTGGTAGACAAGCAATAAGCATCTATTTTATGTTTTATGTAGGCTGTGAGGTAAGGAGCAAGAGGGAGTGCAGAATGTGTAATCAAGAGGTCTCTGCTGTAGAACATAGCTTGTTGACAGATATGAAATTCACTTTCTATCTGTAAGCATCTCATTCTCAAGCATCTAGTAGGATACCCTCATTAAGTAAAGAAGGGGAAAATAAAACCTATGTTCAAATTTAAAAAGTAATTTTTCCCATCACTAGTGTAATAAAGAAGTGATTTAGAACTCTTGCTCATATTTTTGCTGGCCCATTTGGAAGCTGCACTTCAATTCCAGACCCTGCTTCAGCTCTTAGCTTCTCACCCCTCATCATGTTACAGCATGGGAGTGGGGGTAACTTGGGGAGGAGCATCACAGGCATGAGAGTAAGCTTTACTCTAGCTGCACGGGGCTTAAGGGAAGGGACCTCCAGATCTTTTCTGAAGAAAGATAAGAAGCAATTTTTGCCATATAACCCAAGCCAATTATTATTTTGGTTTTTCTTTTCCTTTTGGGGGAGTACAGAAGATACTGGAAATTAAACCCAGAGGTTTTGCACTGACTAAAACCCAGCATTTTGTTTGTTTTGGGGACAGGGTCTTGCTCTGTAGTGCCAGCTGGTCCTGACCTTGCTTATGTAGCCCAGATTGGCCTCAAATTCACAGTAATCCTCCTGCCTCAGCCTCCCAAGTGCTGGGATTACAGGCATGTGTCACCACCAGCTCCCCAGCCTTTTTATTTTATTCTATCTTAGTTTTTTAAAACCAGGTCTCACTAAATTGACCAGGCTGACCTCCAACTTGTGACCCTCCTGCCTCTACCTCCCAAGTAGCAGGAACTACAGGTATTCACCACTGTGCCCAGCAGTAAAACTGCTTAAACAGAAACGAAAATTATGTTGAGGGCAACTAAATTATATTATTCTAAATATTCTTTTAAAATATTTTGCCCTAGTCCTTTTAGTAAAACTCAAAAACATCATTAAGATTAAAAACATGCGGTATATCTGGCAGAATTTCAAATTCTTAATAATTTAGATATTACCTAAATAAATTCCAAAAACATTAAGCAAAATCGTATTTCCTAAAAGGTTAGAAAACTTGCTGGGAATTTAGCTCAGTGGCTTAAGTGCCTGCCTGGCAAAGCACAAGGTCATGAGTTCGATCCCTGGTACCAAAAAAAAAAAAAAAGGTTAAAAAACTGTTAACATTCAGGATGGAAGAAACATAAAGGCACTTGAAAGGCATAAAAACTGCATTTTTCTTTTACTTTCTGAATACTAAAAGTTCATATTAAACAGCAAAGAATTATATACAGAAAAATCAATTTACACATGAATATTTTCTAAAAATTGAGGCCTAGTGCTGAGAACTACACTCCTTCTCTGTTATCAAGGCTGATGTGGTCACCAGCTCTTAGAAAGGAGCAGCACACTAACAGTTAATGGTTGGCCTGATGGAGAAGCCCACTCAGTGCTAGAGGAAAGTGAGGAAGGTTTGACTCACATCTTGCAGCATTACGTTAGTCAAGGAGGAAGACTACAGAAACCTTTTCACATGTTTCTCATTTGGTAGGAGGAAAAATAGCTAAAGCAGATCTTAAACAAATAAAATTTAGTGATGATCTCAGGTCTTCTGTTGCCTAGATATTTGAACCCATTTTCACTGTTGAGAAGATACACTTGTTGTAAATAACAGCCATTCTTCAGAAAGCCAAAGAGTTCAGAAAAAGTACTAAGAAAAAAGTTGTGGATAAAATCATGAAGTACATTATTTTAGGTGAAATTTTATTTGCTCAAAAAAGAATACAAGGAAAGAAAAAAGTAAGAAGTATGTGGACAATTATTTCAGATCTTTTCTCCAAGCCTTCAGTTCTCAGTTCTGCTTCCTTGAGGCTTCTGAAGGAGGGGAGCTGTCCAGTAGCATCAGCATCACACACACACACACACACACACACACACACACACACACGCACGCACGCACATACACACACACACACATACACACACACACACACACACGTCTTCCTTTCCTGCCAAGCCCTCTACAATGCTAACCACCAAGACCTGGGACCTAGGGACAAATAGGAGGGAACATAAAGTATCAAAACTGCACTATGGGCCGGGGATGTAGCTCAGTGCCACAGCACCTGCCTGGCAAGCACAAGACCCTGAGTTCAATTTCCAGTACATATACAAATACATACATAAATATATATATATAGTTATAAAACAATTGTACTGAGGGAGTAGAACAGATGTTGTTCAAGTTAAGGCCATGTAATTTTAAAACATACGAAGTTACAAAATAGACTCATTTGTGCACAGCTCTAGTTACTGTTTGGCTTAGCAAAAGCACAACAGGATAAGCAAGCACCTATGCAGCTCTGGCCTTAAAGTTTCATTAGGGCACCTGCCTAAGCTTATGACTGCCCTCACATGCAATAAAATACTATTTCATCAGAATTCAACTAATTCACACTTAGCTCTTCACTCTATCTTTTTGAGGGAGGGGAGGTAGGTAGGAGAGAAGAGAGAAGGGAAAGGAAGTAGAGGATGGAAATAAGTTAGGAGAAAAAAACCCCTGGATTTCCCCTAAAAACCAACTTTCAGGCTAGGGTATTAGTGACATTGAGTATAATCAATGCCACTCTCTGCATGCATAGTTTTAATCAAAACTGACGTTCCTGGACCGGGGTTTTAGTTCAGTGACACAAGTATCTGCCTGGCAAGCGCGAGGTCATAAGTTCAATTCCCAGTACTAAAATCAAAGATAAACAAACAAAATCCTGGTGAACTTTTACCCTAAGATATTTTAAGATCCTAAGTAATCAAATATTAGATTATGCTCAGCAGACTAACTCAAAAGCCAAAACTCTTAAATTATATATAAATATATAAATCCTGAGATATGACAGTTAACTGAAGGTTTAAGTGATATAGAGAAAGGCACAGCAGACATCCAAAAGACAGAATGGCTCTAGAATCTAACTGTACAGTGACTAGAGGAACATCACTGCATTGAATTTTTCCAAGATTCTAATAAAGCAAAAAGATATGAAAAACAGATTGTTTTACCTTGACCCTTAATAGCTTTTAGCCCCTTTCTATTTTGAGATATATTTTTAACTAACTTTATTAATAAAGGCAAAAAGTCTAGCCTAATAAATAAATGTGAATATTCTATTTGCCAGATTGTCTAAAGTAAAAACAAAACAAGCCAACAACATAGTTCTAAGCACTACTAAACTAAAGCAAATTCCAATTTTAGCTATTTTTATGATTCCCCAAAGCCAGTATCTTCTCCCTATAGGTCTAGGTCAAAAATGCCACTGCAGGGGCTGGGGATTTAGCGCAACGGCATAAGCGCCTGCCTTGCAAGCAGGCAGTCGTGAGTTCGATCCCCGGTAACGATAAAAAAAAAAAAAAATGCCACTGCAAATTTTTCTGGATTCCACGTAACTAATTTCTCTTTCCTGTTTTTCATTTACTTAACAGACAATCAATAAAAGACACAGTGGGGCTAGGCTTGGGGAGATAATTGACATAAGAACCCAAGAGGCATGCATTTCGGCATTTCCAAAGCCTTCCTCTTACCCGTGCAGAACTAAGACATCAGCATAGCTGAGGTGATTCTGATTACCCTTTACCTTGTTACACATTTTTCTTGTCTTCATAGCTCTGAAGCTCTGAATATGAACTTACTATCGCTAATGCTCTCCCCATTGGAATAAGAGTAGCCCGAGAACACCAACTTTGCTTTTCACTCACTGAGACACCTTCTAAGAAACAGTGCCTAGCTCAGAATAGGCACCCAATCATTATGCATTAAACAAATAAGAAAACAACAGGACAATGAGAAAACATGTTGAAATGCTATGCTTAAACCTATAAAAGCCTAGAACCATCATGATCTTTACTCCAGAAAAAGATCACATTTGAGTTGTACGAAGTAATAGAATAAAAGGGAAAGATGAGTCAATAAGAAGTAAACATTTGAACAGAAAATAATAAACTAAGTTATTCAACACTTAGCTAGTAAAAGCAGGTAACTGTCATCTAAAAAACTATATATCATTTTCTCCCCAAATCAACGTGTAAGAAACATCTGCAATTTATATCATAAACTCTACATTCAAGTTACAACTGATAGGCCACACAGTAACTATTATTAACACATTACTGCTGTGCAACTTGACAATGAAACTCAGAAACGGTATTAAAAAATCATCACCATATATTTTAAATTATCTGTAAAATATGACTTTTATAAAACACCACCTTGGGCTGGGGATTTAGCTCAGCGGCATAAGCGCCTGCCTTGCAAGCAGGAAGTCGTGAGTTCGATCCCCGGTACCGATAAAAAGGAAAAAGACCAAAAAAAAAAAAAAAAAAAAAAACAAAAAAACCCATCACCTTAAGTTTTAATCAATACATATGAATACTAGTCTGATTTTAATAAAAAGGGCTCTTTTACATCAGTTTATTCTGCAGCAAACACATCAGCAATTAGTGTTAAATCTAAGTTCTACCACCAAGTTGGTCTAAAATAAATGAAAGCCCTACTTCTGTGCCTTTCCTCTTTATCTTCAAAAACCAGCTTATTATTAGCAAGTAAAAATAACTGAGGTTCTTAAAACAAAGAAGCATAAACAGTATTGTTGGTGTTACATGATTTCAAATGATGATGTAGATGAGTACTTTTAATGATGATCATTTATTCAACAAATATTTACTCATCCCCTTACAATATTCCAAGCACCTTACTAGTGATTAGAAATCACCAGAAATATTCATATTTGAAGTACTAAAAGCTAACAAAGATCTCCTTGACTTCTAGTAAATGAGAAAGATTACAAAATTTTTCAAAAAAGAGTTTTAACTTACATTTTGCTCCTCTGGTTCTAATTTGGGGATTTTGTGTGACTTGCGCTCTTCAGATCTAGATGAGTCATGCTTGTTGCTTTTTTTCCTTTTTTCTTTTCTGCTTTCATGCTTTGACTTTGTGTGTTCAGTTGCCTGTACTTCATTTAAAAGGTCTCCACAAAGTGAAGACTCGAACAATTCCCTGCCATTCTGGATAGTTTTGGTTATTTTTAGTTTAATTTCAGGTGAGCCAGTCTTCTTTGGAATCACAGTTTGTGGTACCGACGGAGGAGGTGGTGGCTGTGGAGGAGAAGGTTTTTCTAGAATTTCATGTGGTCTTGTATTTGGAATTTCTGAATGGTAATAGTCAGTGGGGCTAAAGTTTCTAACTGCACCGAAGCCATTGGCTGACCCATTGGGGTACTGATTATATGACTGGTATTTGGTTTGAGTTTCATACATGCCAATTGATGGTGGGTAGCCATTTGTAAGTGGAGGAAGGTCTTCTGTTGTAGGTGGGTACTGAAAGCCTTGCTGCAAGGTAGCTTCATACGGTGTCTGGCCACCATCTTCGACAATGTCACTGTTGTTATCAAAGGCATCCTCCTGACGAATGTTGGCGGAGTCAATGAGTTGAGGTGGTTGCTGAATTGTGTTTCCCATGATCCCTTGCATGAAAGAGAAAGAGAAATCCATTGTTCTGCTCCAGCATCCTTAACTGTCCCTTTCTCTCATCGGGCCTAAAATCAGAAAAGAAGGAATTAAAAGACAGTAATATCCTCACATGCTAATCAATTGAAAAAGTATTAAATTAGAAACACTGCACTTAATTTTCTTGTCTAGATATGCATAGACATTAACAATTTCTTAAGACAGATAGCCAACATAAGACACAAGGCAAATACATTTTACCTTAAATGCTTGTTTTAAATTCCTGATTATTTTTACAATTCTGTAACAAAATTTTATGTTCTTTTCAAAATAACCTTGACATCCCTGTTTCCCAGTTTACAGATTATTAACATTAAAATTGGTATTTGTAAAATAAGCAGCAGCCTGACACACATAGTTTCCATATACACTTTCTTTAAAATCATTCACATGTTGCCCAGTGGTTCTCTATATTATAAAAATAAGGTCTTATTGAAAATATTTTAAACACAAAAGTAAAAAGTCCTATCCCTTACACAATTCCTACTCTCCTATGTCAAGGACAACAACTATAAACACTTTGGCGGGTACTCATCTACATCTTCCTCTAAGTTTACTTATGAATCTTAAAAATAGGGCTTATCCTGACCTGTTTCACTTAATAATATATACTGGATGTATTTCTTTACCAGGACATATAGTTTTTATACACACTTTATCCATGAAATGGCTGAAGAGTAAATCTATCATTATAATGCATGCAACCATTTGTATACTGATAGTCAACTAGCTGCTTACAACCTTTTAGTATTCTGACAAGTCCACAGAAAAGACAGCTGGGTATGGTGGTGTACGCCTGAGGCTGAGGCAAAGAGAAATGCCACAAATTCAAGGCCAGTCTGGGCTACACAGTGAGTTAAGGCCAGCCTGAACTATACAGTAAGATCTTGTCTCAAAAAACAAATAAACACCAGAAAATACTTTTGGCCTCATTTCTCTGCTAGAGTGTGTTCAGTATCTACTTCTACATAAATCCCTCTCATGCCGTTAAGAAAAAAAAAAATTGGGGGCTGGGGTTTTAGCTCAGCGGCAATAAGCGCCAGCAGCCTTGCAAGCAGGCAGTCGTGAGTTCAATCCCCGGTACCAATAAAAACGAAAACAAAAAAAAAATCTTCAAGCTGTATTTTATGTACTCATGTACTCCTACAGAACAGATCTGAAATTTTGACAGATACTGCAAAGCTATTCTATTAACTGGGGTTTAGCACTGAGCAACACCTCATCTTTTTACTTTTTATATTGAGACAGGATCTCACTAAATCACTAAGTTGCCTGGGCTGGACTCAAATTTGTGATCCTTTTGCCTCAGCTTCCCAGATAACTGGGAGTAAAGCATGTACTACCACACCCAGCTTATTAGCTATATTATCAATTTACTTCATAAAACAGTGAGGGCGGATGCCTAGTTCCCTATACACTTGCCAGCATTCAAAGACGTGTGCACACACATGCTTTAGTAGGGACTGAACATGGGGAATATTTGGTGTCACCTCCAGCCCTTATTTTATTTTTGAGACAGGACATCTCACAAGTGGCTGGGATTACAGACATGCACCTCCAAGGCTGGTCTCTAGTAGTTTTTAACAAAGGGTACACAGAGCAGGATCATGTGAGGACTTTCACAAAATATAAACGTCACAGTCTATCTCCTGAAGATTTTAATTTAATAAAACTGGGGTGGGGATCACATTCTGAGTACTACATTCCAGCTGATTCAGACCCATATTTATTTAATCATTGTTGTTATACTCTTACAATCACTGCACTCCTCTAGAAGGTGTGGGCTATTTTGTCTAACAATGTTATAAAATAGGCATTTGTACAAGACCACCCTACTTCTGTTGTAAAATTTTACAAGGCCACATCTCAAGAAAGGGGAGTAACTGGCAGCCCATATACTATTTTGGTCTTTTGTCTAGAAAGCTCAAAGCAAGGCGGACAAACTGTTTTTACTATTGTATCAACTCTGATGTAATGATCCAGGTTCTTGGAATACAGTAAAGAATTCTAAGGTGACACACTAGTTCAATTCTATGACTGATTAATAAAATCTACCATCTTAGGGCCAAGGATTTAGCTCAATGGCACAAGTGGCTACCTGGCAAGTGCGAGGCCATGAGTTCAATCCCTGCTACCAAAAACAAAACAACAAAACCTACCATCTTAGATTTACTATAATGGTAGAGAAAACAATCTAAACTGGCAAAAAGAAGAGGGAAACAGAACTTAACAGTACAATTTTCAAGTATAGTCACCCAATTTATACAGCTGCTGTTTATTTTGCTATAATAGAAATAATTTTAGATGTTCTAAAACTGCGAACAAATGAATAAGGCAGCATCCTAAAAAACAAGTCAAACTCTAGGAACCAAGAGAGGTAAGAGACGGAAAGTAAAGAAAGAGGATTCATTTTCTTAGCACTTATTTTGGGCCAGGCACTTTATACACTACCTTAGCATGTTTCTGCTGGGTTAAACCACCAATGGTACATGTGTGACAATCCCATCAGTGATATAAATCTTATCACGTTTACTGGTCTTTTTACTAATAAAATAAAAAGTCTATAAATGGGCCAAATAAAATAGTTACTTGAATCTGAATAATTACTTCCCAAATACAAATATTAATACTATTCATACCAACTAAAATTATGATAATCAACAAGTTGATTTTGTTTTAAATTAAAAGAAAGTCATTTGCATTAATGAATAGGTTTACAATAATTAATTCTCTAAATTTTAACATGGAAATTTTGGGAATTTAGTGTTAGTACTGTAATATGCTGGTGTTAGTACTATAATATGCCTTTACAACTGCTGTCCCACAAATCAGGTATATTACAATTTTTTGTATTATTTTAATGTTTTCCTCAAGAAACTGCAATGACATCTGGCCTGCTAAATCAACACCCTGTCTGCACTACTGTAACCAAAGGTCCCCTGAGAAGCAGCATAGGTCACCAATGGGACAGTTTAGAAGAAATGATTGAATTCAAACCTGACCTGCCCAGTAGCAAGGCATGACACTTGCCAAAGACACACAGTATTGTGATTCTTGGTTCACAGGTGAAAAACTGGGAGCATCAGGTGAGTTATAGCAGGACTGCATAAACAGTAATGCAAAAGTGCAGAACTAGACTTTGAATTGAAACCTGTTTGACTCTAAAGTTCATGATATTTTTTAAGTACTATACCGTTTTCATTTCCCAAGCTATAAATTTCTCAAGAAGAATTTATTTCTTTTGTTCATGTGCTTTACCCTTTGGCAACTGCCAAATCAACAATTATCTTAGTAGCCACTACTGGCATTTAAATAGTACTCTGCAGATACTATACACCATTCTAAGCACTCTGCATTGTTCTACAAGTAATCTTCCCAACAACTTCCAGGTAAGTATTATCTCCCACTAAAGATCTCACAGAACTTTTAAACAGGTAAATATGGCTAGTGAAGTGACAAAACTAGGCTTCAACATAGCAGTGCAATTCTAGCAGGCTGATTCATATCCTACTGACTGGCAATGACAATCGATGTTAGAAAAAATTTCCTTATATTTTAAGAATTAGAACTAGGCATGGTGGTGCACACCTGCAATCCAAGCACTCAGGAGGCTAAGGCAGGATGATTGTTGTGAGTTGAGGTCAGCCTGGTCTACCTAATAAGGTCAAGGCCAACCTGAGCTACAGAGCACCCTGTCTAAAAAAAACCAAAAGAAAAATTTTGTTATGCAGCATCAGCATGGGAGAAATTTTAAAATTCTCATTCAGGCAGGTGTGGTGATGTCTCCCTGTAATTCCAGCACTCAGGAGGTCAAGGCAGGAGGACTGCCACCAGCCTGAACAACACAATGAGACTGTTTCAAAAAAAAAAAGAACACCAAGTTTTTACTCATACTTTAAGCTGGAAGTCATGGTAATCCTGACACATAACAAGATGCAATTTGTATTTCTGGTTCGCCGAACTGTCATATACAAAGTCATCTTTTGAGTTAGTTTCCTCAATTACAGTCAATCATATTTTTCTCAGACCTAAGTTTTTAGAGATGCAAGTTTCTGATGCTTTTGATTTAGTTCTAAAAGTGAGTCTTTAGACAGTGTGATATTTACCTTTTCTCTACTCCTAACTCTGAAGATTCCATTTTAGTTTGCTAAGAAAAGCAATAATATCATCATCTTACAGTAACATGGGAGATTCCAGTCATACAATGTTTTCCTTGCACTATGTGTCTGTGTGCACACAGTGGTGACTGAATCCCAGTCTTAAGTATGCTACAACCCCAGGCCACGCTATTAATTAAAAAAGCACGATAATGGCAACCTCTCCATCAGAGAATATCCTCATTCTTAGGAAAGCCACGCACCACAAGTGCAGGTGCACCCCTGCAATCCTAGCATTAAGGAGGCTGAGGACTGGGCTACCTAATGAGTTCAAGGCCTGCCTGAACTATGTGGTGAAACCCTGTCTCAGAAATAAACGAGTGAATGAATGAACACAAGCCATGCTGACACATTTAAAGGTAAAAGTATCACGATAGAGTATCTATAACTTTCAAATGGTTCAGGGGGAAAAAAGTACATACATCTAAAGCAAACAAAGCAAAAAAATTGGCTAACTAGATGTTGACTGTAAGTTTGGGTTTTTTTTTTTAAACATTTCTAGAGGCTTAAACATTATTTTTCTTTGTGTATGGGGTACTGTATTGGGAAATGAGGCTAACGCCTTCACATTGAGGTATATACCCAGTCCTTCTAAATGGTTTGGTGTTTTGGGTGTTTTATTTTATTTTTTTGTCTTTTTGAGATAGGCTCTTCCTATGTTGCTCAGGCTGGCCTTGGGCTCATTGTGTAACCCAGGGTGGTCTCCAACTTGCAAGGATCCTCCTGCCCCAACCCCCAGAGTGCCAGGATTACAGGAGTGCGACACCATGCCCAGCTTTAAAAGTTTTTTGTTTTTTGGGTTTTTTGGTTTGGTTTGGTTTTTTGAGATAGGATCTCAGTTACTGAATTGTCCAGACTGGGGTAAAACTTGT